GGGGGTGGCCATGCCACAATCCCGTCTCCTCCATTCTCCTCTCGGGATCTTGGACACGCACGCACACGCGCCTGGCGTGAGTTTAAACTACCGGTTCCGGGATGTGAACTGCAGTTAACTACATGGGAGTCCAGCAACATACCCATTATGCTAACTGCTGGTCCCAGAATCCAGCTTTCTTAATCACCAGGCCATAGTGCCAGTCCACTTGATATAATTTTTGTTTTTTTTAAATATGCTGAGGCTTGTCTTATATGCTAGTATATGATTGAACTTAGAGAACGCACTAGGTGCTGATGAAAAGAAAGTGTATTCTGTGGGTGTTGGATGGAATGTGTCCTATAAAGACCTTTCAGATCCATATGGTTTATGGCACTATTTAATTCAAATATTCTTTTGTTTATTTTCTGTCTGAATTACCTATTCAGTGCTGAAAGTAGAATGTTGAAATCCTCAACTATTCTTTTGTCTTTTCTCTCTTTATGACTAGTAGTTTCTATATTTGGTGTTTCAATATTTGGTGTATATGTATTTAGAGAGACAGAGAGACAGAAAGTGAGAAATCACCCCCCAGGGGGGATGGCCATGCCACAATTCTTTCTCCTCCCTACTCCTCTCGGGATCTTGGGCACGCACGCACACGCGCCCAGTGTGAGTTTTAAGCCACCGGGTCTGGGACACGAACCACAGTCGACTATGTGGGAGTCCAGCGACATAGCCATAATGCTAACTGCCGGTCCCCTGTATTTATAATTTTTATATCATCTTGCTAAATACTAAATAATACCTCTTGATACTAAATAATGAGCTTCTTTGTCTCTTTTTATAAATTTTTGCTTGAAAATCTATTTTATGTTATGTCAATATACCTACTTCTGCTTGACTTTGGTTTTCATTGCTAAATGTATTTATTTTTTCACTCCTTCACTCTTAGTCTGTGTATGTCTTATAGATGAAGTGAGTTTCTTGTAAACAGCATATAGCAGGGTATTTTGAAAAAATATATATTCAATCTGCTTATATCTTTTGATTGGGGATTTTGATCCCTGCATGTTCAGAATTATTACTTATAGGCTTAAACTTAATCCTATCATTTTTGTGTGTTTGATTTTTGGCATTCTGATTATAATGCCTAGTTAAGAGGATCTTTTTATATTGAATCTACTTAGTGTCCTTTCCTGAGTGGATATCCATATTCTTCCTGCTAAGAAAGGGCCTAAGTTCACTCATAGTAACAACAGTATTCACCATGTGGGATGGCTCTTCCTATGCACAGGACAAGAAGTCCCACAGAAGAGTCTCAATGGCCAAACAATCTCGAGTGTAAAGAACAAAGTTATAACTATCACATTAATTGCTTTAAAAATGTACTACAAAGCTTGAGTTTCCTGAAAGACCTACAAATATAACTACCCTATGACCCATTCCTGGGTATCTACCCAATGGACAGGAGAATGCTCAGTCAGGAAACTGCTTGTGCATCTATGTTTATTGTGGCATTATTCATGATTGCTAAGACATGGACCCAACCCAGATGTCCATCAACAGATTAATGGATTGAAAAAGCGTGGCACATATACTCCATGGAATACTATTTAGTCATAAAAACCGAAGAGACTGACATTTATAGAAAGTGGACAAATATTAAAGATTTATTGTTGAATGAAGCAAGTCAGGCTATGAAAGAAAGACCTTATATGTCTCCACTTAACATAAACTGACTATTTACACTCTATGGTAAAGACTGAAAGATTGGGGGACATAAGAGCATTGAAAATAGTTATGGACAGATGTCCATCAACAGATTAATGGATTGAAAAAGCGTGGCACATATACTCCATGGAATACTATTTAGTCATAAAAACCGAAGAGACTGACATTTATAGAAAGTGGACAAATATTAAAGATTTATTGTTGAATGAAGCAAGTCAGGCTATGAAAGAAAGACCTTATATGTCTCCACTTAACATAAACTGACTATTTACACTCTATGGTAAAGACTGAAAGATTGGGGGACATAAGAGCATTGAAAATAGTTATGGACACTGGAGACAGTGTGGAAGGAGGGTGGGAGATAAGAAGAGTGTAGGGATTGGTAATTAGGGAGAAAAAACAGAGAGGTAAAACATTTGTGAGACACAGAAATATTTTATTATCTGTTGATAATGTGAATAGTATTCTCAACTGGAGTGGTCTGAGATGTATTTCATGTTGGACAATTTCTCTATACAAGCTAAATGAGGTATAGTTACTGAGTATAAAATATAACAATTATAATTATAAAAGAAAAATAGAAATATTGGGACCAGCAGATGGTGTACTAGCTACGTTGTTGGACTTCCATGTAGTTGACTGCAGTTCAAGTCCTGGACCCAGTGGCTTAAACTTAAAATTGGTGAAATGATGGATACATGTTAATTAGCTTTGTTGAATAGCTCTACAATGTATATATACTATAGATCAAAACATATCATACTTCATAAATACATATAATTATTTTTATTAATTAAAGCTAAGCAAATAAATAAGAAAAACAAACATAAATAACTGAAGGTCATGAAATGGTATGCTTGAAGTCACATGGCAAGTTATTTCCAAGGTCAGTATGATATTTCCTTATGAACTATGTTTAGCTGCTATGCAGTAAGAGATGGGTCCAGTGTTTGCTATTGTCAAGGAGAACCGATAGTTGAACTTTGTCAGTGGATAACTGAGATCATATTAAAAGCATAATTACTCCTAAATTTCTGCTGACTATACTTAGTTCCTGAAGCTTATATTTTATATATTTCTGTTCCTGTGATGAGTGAAGCCATTTTCATGATTAGTGGTGTTATGTCCTACAAAGGTATCAAGGCAGCTGGTCCTTAAAAAGCCAAGCCATGTTTAAACCATGGAAAAAGTTCACTTATAAGGAAAAAACCACAAATATATCACCAAGGAATCCTTCAGAATAAATAATTATAATTATTGGTCTGGGACATTATCCCTCAGGAATTTAGAATTTAGCCTAATGCCCTAAAATGAAAAACTCCAGATGACTTAGGTATTGTATTGTGTTTGTGCTCACCTTCTTCTTCCTTTAATTTATAAAAGGGCTTGCTTAGATTATGGCAGTATCTCATGTATGGTTATAAAAATAAATTTATGGAATTGAATTTTTGTGCATGGATCATCTGCCTTTTCTTTAGGGGATTTTTCTTTCATTCATTTATGGAGAGAAGAGAATGAAGTAGATTGCTTTCATATATTGCTTATGACTTTATGGTATGTTTTGTCGGCTGTGCCTATATGCAGAATAGCTGTTGATGTGAAAAATAATTACAATAAAATAATATTAATTGAAAATATTAGTAATAAAACCAAGATTTTTAACTAGAGATCATATTGGAATGAGTCAGATTTGAGTACAAGTTATGACTCTATTAAATGCTTTGAAACTGTAAAGCTGTATGGTCTCTCTGATCCACAATATTTTTATATTTAAAATAAATTATAAATGTGTTTTGGAGAGGCTGTCAAGATCAGGTTTACTATCTCCAAAATACCACGTAAAATGCTTACCATGTCATAAAGTCTCAGAGAAGATAGCAATAAATGTAAATATTTTGTATAAAATATTTTTCCATAGAGATTTTGTTGGAAAGAAACATGACTTGTTTGTTTTTTTTTCTGCTGAACATTAAATATGATTAACTTTCATTATGATGTTTCTAGCTTCCAGAATTCTTGCTGATTTAAGATGCGGCTGTCTACTGTAACATGGCTTGTCATAGGCCCCTACTCTTATGGTCTCCTCTTTCTTCTCTGTGCTTTCTCAAAACTAGATCTCAGTAACTTACTTGGCATGATTTGTAATATAATTTCACACTAAGTGATAAATTGTCATCTACATCTGATAAATTGTCAACTATATCTAATTGTCATCTGTAATTTTTAAGTAACGTAAGTGCTGCTTTCATCTTATCAAGGGATGATTTATTTTCCTGTGTAATTTTTATAATTCAGTGATTGATTCCTAAGAAATACAATTTTCGAACTGCTAAATTTATTGGTAAATGAATAACCATTGAAGGAACATCATAATTTTTTGTAATGTTAAACTCTCATAAATCTTGGAAGAGTTTTAGGTGGGCTCTAAATATCTCTACAATCATGTATTAAGCATAATCAAGATTGCTATATCTTATAGCCCTTCCACTCTTAGAATTCAAGTAAATTTGAGCAAATCAAATAAACCTGGAGTCTATATATGCCACTAGCTATAATTTATAAAGTACTGTACCATGTGTCAGATACTACACTAAAACCCCTTGGTGCACTTGTCTAATAAAATCATCAAGATACAACAATATACTAAGTTCTAATATACTTCTTACTTAATGTAGGACAACATGAACTTAGAGAAGTTTAGATACTTGCCCACATAATCCAACAAATAAGTGTTATAGTCAGACTTCATATTTAGGTTTTCCTTTTAACATTTTTTAACCCCTATAATATACTGCTTTTCAAAGTTATTCTGGAAGATATCTGTATCACTGTGTTATGAAAGCATAATCTGCTTGCTATTCCTGCCTTTATTTAAAGATGAGTAGGGTAGCTTATAACGCCATGGTTCATTGCTCTCTGAGTCTTGCATCAAGCTGATCTATTCTTAGGTATAAAACAATGACAAAAAATTATCTTTTTGAAGTAGGAAAGATATAGGTAAGGCTTTGATGAATGAATAAGGCTTAGAATGATTATAAACAGATAAAAGAAAAGTTTATTCCCTTTCAGAAAGCAGGAGTATCTTAACTCTACCAAGTAGTAATTTTGATATTTTTATCTCTTCAGAATATTTGCTACAAAAACAGAAGAAAACTTGCCAATCTCAGACCAAAATTTCTCCTTTTTTTTGTTTTTACAGCTTTAGTTTCTCAAATTCTGACAAATAGAGCATGTGATAGCATCTTCATCTGAGTAAATGGTTCTGTGAGAGGAAGGAGGACCAAAAAATGAGTACAATAAAATTAAATTTTACTGTGACTGAATTTGTGTTCCTGGGACTCTCGTCTGAGCCAGAGACACAGCTCATTCTTTTTGTTATGTTCTTGTTCTTCTATTTACTAACGGTGGCTGGGAACATCATTATCATCACTATTATTCAGATAGAACCACGTCTCCAAACCCCCATGTACTTCTTTCTTACTAATTTATCCTTTCTAGACATTTGCTATACATCCACCAATGTCCCACAAATGCTGTCCAACATGGTGGGGAGAAAGAAGACGATCCTGTTCTCTAGCTGTGCTGCTCAGATGTATCTTTCCCTCTCCTTTGGAATGATTGAATGTGTTCTCCTTGGTGTCATGGCTTATGATAGATATGTCGCTATTTGCCACCCTCTTCATTATACTGTCATTATGGACAGAAACACCTGTGTCCAGCTGGCAGCAATTTCTTGGTCCAGTAGTTTCCTGAGCTCCATGGTTATCAATGTCCTCACCTTGAGATTGCCCTACTGTGGGCCCAATGTCCTGAATCACTTTTTCTGTGACGTGCCTTTTGTCCTAAAACTGGCCTGCACTGATACCTCACTCACTGAGTTGGTGGTTTTTATCTTCAGTATTATCATTGTCTTCATCCCTTTTCTTCTCATTGTTGTTTCTTATGCCCGGATCCTTCTGTCTGTTCTCAAAATACGGTCGGCCTCTGGGAGACACAAATCACTGTCCACATGTGCCTCCCACCTGACAGTAGTGGCGTTATTCTATGGAACTGCCATCTTCATGTACATGAGACCCCAGTCAAAGTCTTCCCGGGCTGGAGGCAAGATCATTGCAGTGTTCTACACTGTGGTCACACCCATGCTCAACCCCCTGATCTACAGCCTGAGGAACCAGGATGTGAAAGGAGCTTTAAGAAGAGCTATTGCAAAACAGAGAATGTGAGAGCTGTTAATGAGGCACTAAGCTTAACTGCTAACCTAAGATAAGAACCTTCTGGATATGAAGTGAACAAGTGGAAAATAGCTTGGATGGTCACCATCTTCCCTGTCATTCTTATAAAGCTCATAAATCCAGTAGCAAACTCAACAGGAAAATGTTTCTCTCCAGAATACAACAGAGTTTTAATGTGTTAAAACAACTCTCAGCATTAAGTTATTATTATGTCGTTAGTCACTTAAAAATCTTGTTTCTATGGCTATTTATTTACTTTTTAATTGACACATTATGTGTATAACATGCAATGTGATACTTTGATGTTTGCAATGTATAATGATCAAATTAGAGTAATTACCTTAGATAACATTTGTTTGTTGTGAGATCATTTTAAATCTTATTTTCTAGCTGTTTTGGAATATACAATGAATTCTGGTTGTATATGTTTTCTTTTGTGTGCAGTGATTGCAATGTTAGAACTTACTCCTCTCATCTAACTGTAAATTTTACCCACTGACTAACCTATTTCCATGACTTCCTCGCTCCTTCCTCCCAGCCTCTGGTAACTTCTATTCTACTCTCTACTTTCATGAGATCTTTTTTTTTTTTTTTTTTTTTTTTTTTTTGCTATAGGGCACATGCAGAGAGAGACAGAGAGACGAAAGTGAGAAATCACTCCCTTGGGGGGATGGCTATGTGCCAGTCCCTTCTCCTCCATTCTCCTCTCGGGATCTTGAGCACCCATGCACACATGCCTGGCATGAGTTTAAGCCACCAAGTCTGAGACTGGAACCACGGTCGACAACATGGAAGGCCAGTGATATAGCCATTATGCCAACTGCTGGTCCTGTGAGATCATCCTTTTTATATTTCACATGTGAGTGAGAACATGTGATATTTGTCCTTTGTGCCATGTTCCTGATTTATATCACTTGACAAAATGTTCTCTAGGCTCATCACTGTTGCCACTAAATTTATAAACTATCTGAAACTGTGTGGTATTACATTGGTAAGAAGAAATGTTATTCTCTTGTCTGAAGGAACTAAGTCACTTTGATACACAGGAGAAGCGTCAATTTCTAATTCAGGTGAAGAATTTCTGAGCAAGCGTTTTTAGATGTAAGATTTCACGTTGTTGTTAATATTGCACTTTCTATAGAAATAGGATCTTACATTTAGTTTTTGGTTTAGACTTGATGTTAATCTTTTTATGTACATCCCTGCTTTGCAGTGAGTCTATCAAAATATTGTTTTATTACATTCTACCTAAACTCTTTTCTTGTTCAAATTATATGATGCATCTGTTTCTTTCTATAAACATATTTATATTTATACGTATAGGAAGAAATATATGATTTTACGAAGAGACATAGTTTAATGGAACATTCCAAGGCTCCTTGGATGTGTGTTTTTCTCTACAATGGGTTAAAAAAATCTTATTTATCTTACTAGCGGCCTGTTCCTGGTGATCTTAGACTGGCTGTGCAAACAGAAGGAAAGCAAGTAGAAGTGGAATATTTGGTCAAGTGTTAACTAATTGATTCCTTCATTCATGTATAACCTATCAATGAATGACTATGCAATGTAATGTTAAACAGAATAGAAATGATTCCATGTATACTTATATATAAGTACGCATACACTGACAAATTGTGATAACTGCAATAAGAGCAAAAATTATCAATGATTAGGAACAGACAATAAAATAAACAATGTCCTCTTGACTAGGATGTATACAGAAAGAGGGATAACAGTAAAACAGAGCAGAAGCACGTTCTTACTAAGTGGTTGTGAACAAAATCTCTGTAGACATGAAAGAATGTCTATTCTGTGCTCCATTCCAGGGCATACAATAAACTTTTTTTTTTTTTTTTTTTTGAGAGAGATTTTCACTGTAGGGCGCGTGCGCTCGCCAGACAGACAGAAAGAGACATAGAGACAGAAAGCGAGATATCACCTCCCAGGGTGGATGGCCCATGCCGCAATCCCTTCTCCTCCATTCTCCTCTTGGGATCTTGGGCACGCACGCACACGCGTCCAGCGTGAGTTTTAAGCCACCGGGTCCGGGACACGAACTGCGGTCGACTACGTGGGAGTCCAGCGACATAGCCAGTGGTGCCCTTTTTTTTTTTTTTTTTTTTTTTTTTTTTTTTTTTTTACAATAAACTTTTGAGAAGCATACCAGTAAGAGATGTGAATGAGAAGGCAGGGAAGTGCCAGACTATTCAGGGTTGAATTGCCTGTGATAAATAGCAGAGATTTCTTCTCTGTAAAATGTAAGTATTCTGAATAAGAGTGTTATGGTACAATTTATATTTTTGAAATATTTTTCTGCATTATGTATGGAAGACACACACACTACATATATATATATATACATATATATATATATATATATGTGTGTGTGTGTGATATATATATATATGTAGTGTGTGTGTGTGTGTGTGTATGTATGTGTGTGTGTATATATATATATATACACACATATACATTAATATCATATATTTATGGAAAGGAGTCTTCTCTGCATTTTAATGCTTTTTAGCCAGTGATAATATTATTTTGTTTTAGATGTTTTTGCCTTAGGTCATGTGTCTCCCTGAAGAGAGAGAGAAAGTGAGAAATGACCCCTGAAATGAGAGTGGACATCCACAACTGCTTCTCCTCCATTTTCTTTCTGGGGTGGACATATATGCACACATACTCTGTGTGACTTTCAAGCCACTGGGTCCAAAACTCAAAATCCATTCAGCCATGTGGATGTCCAGCAACGTAATCTCTATGCCATCTTCTGCTGGCCTCAGCTAGTGTCTTTTTTTTTTTTTTTTTAAACAGGCTTTTGCTATAGGGCATGTGCACTTGCCAGAGAGAGAGAGACAGAGGCAGAAGGACAGAAATTGAGAAATCATCCTCTGGAGGGATGGGCATGCTTTAATCCCTTCTTTTCCATTCTCCTGCTGGGATTTTTGGGCACACACATGCATGCACCCTGTGTGAGTTTTAAGTCATCAGATCTGGGACTTTTTTTTCATTGAATATCTGTTGCTTACTTAATGTGCCGTAGGGTTTGAACTTGCATAGTGGACTAAGAAAGGTATCATATTGTTATGTGCATGGTAGTATTATAACAGAATTAGATGCACAATATTTCTCAAACACATTGGAGAGCTGCCATTTATTAAGGCTAGAATGACTTACATATACTTTTTCTGTTTCTCATATATTTTACCATTGGAAATAAAGTACTTTTGTGAGTGAGAGTCAGCAGTGTTAACACTTAATACAAGAAAACAGGAAAAACTCAAACTTCCTCATGCACTAGGGGAGAACAGGCCATAGCAACGTTGCTTTGTTTAGTTCTCATAGCATTCCTGTGGTATGGTATTACTAGCACCATTTTACACATGAGGAAATCATGGATGGTAAGTCCAATAAGGACTTAAAGAGAATGTGATGACTGATTTGTGATATGAAGTTCTGGTCTATTTTATAGGTGGGTTAGTAGTTTGGAGAATAGGGACTAAAAGGAGAAAACTTCATAAAATGTGTGGAAACATGGAATTAAACTATGATTTTATTTTTGGTGCAAATGCTTTGAAATTCATTCATAGCTATTTTTATAATAGGCATCTTCTGTGAATGTTTTGAAAACCTCTTGAATAAGCCAAAACACAAGGGGAAACATTACATGGTGCATTTATGTTAACATGACTTGACCTGAGAGGTAGGCTATGGAAAAAAATGGCTGGGGATAAAGCTGGAATTTCCAAAGTTGTTTGTGGATGCCATTCATGGTGACTATCTCAACAAGATCTCTGTTCCAGTCTCCTAAACCAGGTTAGATGGAGGTGCTTGTTTTCCTCATCATCACTTCATGTAAACTAGTAGAGTTAAACACACACCCATGGACATAGTGAATTTTACAACCCCTGATGTGCTACATTGTTAACATAGTACATGTGGCTGTTTCAAGCAATGCAGTAAACATGTTCTTCACTTTGTTCTTTCTAAAACAGTTCTTTATGTATAAATACAAACACACACACACACAAACATACAAACATATACATATATACATATATAAATATGGCACTCACGAGAAAGAAGTGAAGAAACCACTTCCCTAAAGGACGGAGATGCCTCTATTCCATCTCGTCTATTTACACATGAATAAAACAATAATTTATATATATAGGTGTATATATAAGTGATTTATTTATATTAATCAATAATATGTTAATTAACATGTATAACTATATAAAATATGATACGTAGTACATTATATATTATGATACAGTGATATATGATATATAATTGTATTATTAATATAATGTAATTATATATCATTTAATAATATGTATTACATATACGTATATATAAAATATCTTCAAGCCTACTATTATTTTTAGGGTAGAGATTGAAGGAACAGACTTTCTAAGTTCTTCCTTTGGAGAAGCCCAGCTGAGAGGCTAGATGTAAAGTTTTATGTAAGCCCAGTTAGGAAAAGTACATCATCTATGTCACTGGACCTGATTTACACAGCCGAAGTTCTATGGAGTTTACCAGCTGCATGTTGCTACTCTGGTTTCCCCAAGCTCATTGCTTTGCTGATGAGTATGTGATAGAATTAACAGAGCAAAGAAAAATGTTCCCTAGAAACTCCAAGGGATAAACACCATGTTCTCAAATTGCTGTCAGATCATTTAGCTATGTTCCACCAGTACACAAAAATATTTTCCCATTCTGAGGGCTGTTGATTCACACTAATTACTGTGTCTTTTGTCATGCTCAAATTTCTTAATTTGATATAATCCCTCTTGTCTCTTTCTGGGATTATTGACTATGCTTTGGGGGGTCTTATTTAAGAAGTCTTTTCCTACCCCAATATCTCCCAGTTTCCCCAATGTTTTCCAGCAGCAGTTTTATAATTTGAGGTCTTAGGTTTAGATTTTTGATCCACTTTGAGTTGATTTTTGTCAGAGGTGAGAGGTAGGCATTCAGATTCATCT